TCAATTAGTGTCAAATATTTTCTCCTATATTAGGCAAAATACAGCATGTAATAGGTACTTACTGTTAAGACTACTTTTTTTACTTTGCAAATGAGGATAAAAAGTGTGAAAAATACATTACATTTAATTATTAAGCAGCAATTTTACTCAGTAGTAAATTAGACAAATTGCAAGGGGTGATTCTATATGACAAAGTAAGACAAAAATTAAGAATAATAACATTATGTGTGGTATATAGTAGACTGCCCAGCTTCAGGCACTTTGAAAATGATATTTTTAAAATTAATTCTTATTATGCAATACAGAACCATCACCGAATTTGCAATTTTATTACTCTTGATATTTGTCTTATTCTGTCATACAGAACAATCCTTAAAATTTCTTTTACATTTTGCCAAACATCCTACAATAAGATCCATATGATGAAAGATCAAAACAAATTCTATTAGTATAACAATAAAATAAAATTTTGGTTATCTTTCATGTCATATTGCAAATTGTTTCATAAAACAAAAAGCCAATAAAAAATCTTTATTTCATTTTGCTCACACTTTTCAAGATATTTATATCATATTTTTATAGAAATATAGCATGTAATTAATAAATTACAATGTGCATTTTTTGCACCTAATGCTCAAAACCTTCAACAGTTTCACTTTCAAATATTCTGAGTTCTTCCTATGTTTTAGATACTTTCCTTAAGTAAACACAATGCTATATTTTCAAAGTGAGATTCTTTGGACTTTTAATAGCTGCGTGTTACTTTTGATTATACTATCCTTCACAATCCAAGTTAAACTAATATATGTATATCAGTATATACATATGTATATACGTCAGAGTTGGGCAACATTTTATTTGTACATAATGATCATTAATAAAAAAATTTTAACTAATGATTAAATCACGGTTACCTTTATTAATAAAAGATAAAAAGAGTTAACGTTAAACTAGTAAGATTAACTTCAAACAATAATTATATAAAGGCAATTATAAATTATGTGCTCTTCAAAATTACACAACTTTACAATAATACGCTGCATATGTTAATTGTACCGATTTGATTTACTCTATGAACCTCTGTACAAAATAAATTCTTTCGAAAATTAATTCCATTTAAATTTATTTGCATTATATATATGCATTCATGCATACATATAAAAATGATTTAAGTAATTCACTCATGTAATCAAATATTAGAATCGAAATGAAATTCTGCCATTGTTTTTCATTCAAATATTCATTCGCAGTTTTGCAACAAAAATTGATAGTGATTTACAAGTATTAATGAAATCAAAGATAAACAAATTACAATCTCATAATGAATTAGTTCTCTTCAACTATATTTTTAAAGAATTTTGGTATTTCATTTAATTATATGCTCTGATTAGTTTTACAATACTCTATGCAGCATTGTATGTACATATTAATATTGTTTAACGCGTTGACTACCACGTTGGTCAGCTGTGACTGGAGATTGTTTCCTCAATCTGGCCATGGTGGTCATCAGTGACCAGAGGGCCTCAAATGTTTAGAATAATTAAAATAAAATGAATATCTTCAACTAAAAATTTCGAACATTATAGCTAACTAGACATTATTTTTAATTTGAAAAATAATAATAATAAAGCATAATAAGCATAATATAATACTACGCTTAGAATAATGAAAATTTTCTTGTGGCCCCCTGAGAAAAACATGTAAATCTAGCGTGACAGTCAATGTGTTAAGTATTTATTTCTTTTATTTCTCCTACTTTTTCAAATCATAAATAATGTTCCATTTACTTTCAGTTTCACAGCTGTCAAGTTGTTTTATAATCCGTACGATTACTGCCCAACTCTAATCGAATTATAGCAGCACAAAACACATTTGTAATTAAGACTGATTACAACACATTCACTTTAAGATGTTCTTTCTCGGGTACCTCACGATTTGAAGAGACTAACGATTAAGAAAAGAAAGGTTAGTTACGTACACGAATAAACACGAGCAATTGGAATGATGATCGAGCCGATTTTCACGGTGTTGATTATGCAAAGTCTTTGTTTAAGGTTGTGCAATTTGTGTTTTACGTGGAAAAATGCACAATACGTGTCATCGGTGATCACTAAACGAACAACGTTCACAAAAATTTGTAAAGTCAGTACTCCGACGTTCAAAAAGTAGTCGTGATTACGTGAAACATGCAAAAAACATTTCGTTACACTAATTACTAAATGGTGTCACGTTGAACGACTTTTCAACAACATCAGGTCTTTCTTTGTGGCGCAAATTACACATTGAATAGAATACAGTTATTTGTAGCTCAGAAGTTAGTGACGACTTTCAGTCATTTGTTTGTAAAGGACACTTAAGCGGTAGACTTAGCAAATGTTTCTTTAACTGTACTAAGTATTCTCTTTCGCACTATACAACGGCAAACCAGTTTTATACCTCTATTAACCCTTTCGCTACGTATATTTATGCTCCTGTGAAATTGTCGCGTACTTACGAGAAGTGTACATACATATACAGTTTCTTATTGAACTGGCATAATTTTAGTCATACTGTGGAATGCTGCACAACCATAATAATTCAAGGAGGACGAATTATATTAAAAAATGAATTACTTATGCAAAATAGAAAATTTGATAGAAAATTTAACATTCCTAATGTGTATATTTCGGTGATTAACTTTTCAATACCATAACATATACTGTGAATGATTCTTTCTTAAAACTCGTAGCAAAAGGGTTTCTTGTCATTGGAGTAACAGACGCTTACTTTCTTCTGATCATTTATTAGTGAAAATCAACTGAGAATTAAATTTGACAAAATTTTTCCCTGCATTTCGTTCAATTATTATATTATTTTCACTCCAAAAATAGTTTCTTTACTTATCTATCATTCAAAATTATTTTTCAACATTAAAAAGCAAATTTAGTTCTTATTCTAATTTGTATTAGCAAATTAATAATTAAGGTCTTCGTGAAGGACACTTTTGAAAGAAAACCAATGAACATTTTGACACAATTCATATTTTGTTTTGCTTTCATTCTTCATGATTAATACTAATCATTATTCATTGAGTAAGGAATTTTCATTCTCATTTGATTTTGAGTTTTTGATTTTTTACTTTTTCGTAAAACTCATTACAATAACATTATTACATTCTTCAATTCATTCTATAATCATTGGCAGGCGAAGCAGCGCGTCCAAGAAAAATCGGAGGAACACTATATTTGTTTTCCTTCCTATACTTCTTCATTCGCCGACAATTTATTTTTCATTGAAGAACTAGCGTCATTTTTCAATCGTGGAACGTTTCGTTTTCATTTCTTCCGTTCGTTTTTTTGCCATTGGATCACGAAGGACACTTTGAAAGTAAATGGATTTGATATAAATGGCATCAATTGCGTAGAATTAGTAATTTACAATCCATTGAAGAACGCTTGTGTCATTTCCGCCAGTAGAAATTAATCGTGTGTTGTCTTGAAGGAACGACACATTGGTAACGTGACTCGAGTGGCCACCGTACGCATGACACAGCGACTGGAACAAACAAATTGATTTATTTTCATCACGCATTTATTGCTCTTCGTTCTTTATATTTATTCATTCTGCCGATTACTGATACCTTGACAGTTAGGTGTAACATATAAATAGTATACTTATTGTAACGAAATTCACGATTTTTTTAAATTTACGATTATTTGATAGAAAATTGTTACAAATGAAATTATATATCTTTCTAAATTAGGTTATATATGTATAGTAACGAAAAGTTCACAAATGTAACTTTTAGAAAGAAAGCAAGGAAGAGTTCTTTAATGAGACTAATAAGAATAAACTACATTTATGTATAACGCTAAAATGTATAACCTGCTAAAATACATTATACATAACGCTAATGCCGGCGGCATGTCAATTTTGAGGATTCATATGTCGGGAACGGCTTATGCAAAAAAATATGTTTAGGTAGTGTTTTGAAAACGCTTCGGTGCCAGCTACAAGGTGTAGTTCAAAATATAGATTCCAATTTAAAAATTCGAAGTTGACCTCTGCAAGACTTTTTAATGTTATCGCAAGGTCAAAAAAACGACAGCATAATCTGCCCCCCTTAATATCCTACAACTTTCGTTTGAATCATTCTTTCATATTTTTCATATTTGCCTGGGGACATGAAAATGGTACACCCTGCATATATATATGAATATGTCAGTTCGTATTACCTTCGGTTGACAAGCAGGGTAAGAGAATAGCTTGACTTTTCCAAAATCATCTCCAGTTGCAAGTAATTTTGAATCACTGCTACGTGTACAGTTGTTCACATCTGTTCCATCTGCACCTTCAGGCCATACTCCAATTGTTTCGAAGGATATGACACAAGTATGACTTGCCCATTCCATGTCTTTCATTATTGATGGTTGTGGTATCTGACGACAGACTCCTGGATTCCCTAAAAAAATCATAAAGTATTAAACAAATTCGTTCATACAATGCAGATAAACTTTTTTTTTAAGTTATTAATAATAAATATCTTTTTAACTGATATTTCAATCAGTAGCATTGCTTATTTAACATAAAAAGTAATAAGATACAACAGTATGGACTAAATGAGCAGTAGTGTTGGTACATTAAATTTTCTAAACTATTAGATTTTAATTTTGAATTGGTGGTAGGATGAAAATGTATCAAAAATTTATAACAGGCATGTTAGTACAACAGGTCTGGAGTTAAGGTTCCTTCTCCTATCAACATTGGACTAAAGGGTATAACCAAATAAATGCCAATCCGAAGGATTCTGAAAAAAAACCCTTTCTGTCAAATTTCAGCCCTCTACTTGTAATTAGGATAACTATAAATCAAAACGTGATTTAAGCTCGATTTTTTTTGGTCTATCACATAAAAAATTGTGAAAAAAATCAGAGATATTGTAGCCAATGAGATATATGTTTGGCAATTTGTTCAGATATTTTAGCTATAAAACCGAATTGTGAAAAATTAAAAAAAGATTTAAAACGCCAATTTTTTATTGAAGTTATTAAGTAATAACATTTATATTTCTATAATTTTAGCAGTGTTATGATTATTAATTTTTTCAGATTTTCGGAAAGGTGCAACATAGTTAAAAAAATTAGTAGTTTATAATAAAAAGTAACCATTGTGCTAATATGCTAATTTTACTATAATTCCTAAAGCTTAAATAATAGTGCCTATTTTTGTAAAACTATGTACTTTTGTTTTGACTGTTATTTATTTGTAACTTTTAAATTCTTATTAAAAGGGGATATAAACTTCAATACTAAAGGTATATTTCTTACATTATTTATAACAAATATTATAACAGATTTCTTATACGGAGACAGTTAATTTACTTACAATATAACAATTCATAGTCTCCGCTATTACTACGTAAGTATTGCCCATCCACTGACCAGTCCAAATGAGTTATAAAACTGGAATGTCCCTGAAATAAATTATTGCCATTAAAATTAAAAAATAATGTCCGCTCGCAACATTACGCATGTTGCTTCTAACTATAAACATACTTTTGTCGCGAAAAAAAATTATGTTAACAGTTTCCTTTAAAACAGCTAAAACTGACCAGGTTTACAGCCATTACTATGAGAGTGTCAATATTTTGTGCAAGCAGTGACTACGAGCGTGTTTAAAATAAGCAACTTTTAAACAAAAATATTTACCCATATGACTATGAATAGCTATGACAATATTGCGTCACGTTAGAGACATTATTTTGTTCATGTAACGATAAATTTTAAAGATCGTTGACAAAGATTTTTGATGTTTTAGATCATATTAAACTTTATCTATCACTACTAAATTATAAAACAATTTTTATTATGGCACAGATAGATATTAATGGCAATAAACATTAAAAAAGTGTGTAAGTTTTTGTAAGATGTAATTTAATCTTGATTGTTGTTATTCCAAAACTGTGACGAAATAAATGTAAAAGGTTATCAAATTTTTATGTTAAATCAGAACCTTACACGACTACAAAAAGAAAACATATTACTCAAAATAGTAGCTGTCATTTTATCTGTATAATATGTTTTCTACTACTGTAAATATTAGCAATATGAAATTAATATCG